AAAGTTTGTATGAATTCATAGGAATCTCATACCGGATAACATAATCGCCGCCACATTTAGCACTCATTACACGGCACTCGTGCCCATCGACTCCCATAACCTGACCCTTGGGTACAAAAAACTGGCCGAAAGGGCGTTCAAACCAAATATGTTAGGGTTGTGTGTATTCTCACTAATACTGGGTTTCGCTGTCAAACAGTTGGACTCAAAGGCCGACACTATTCGCCGGGTTTTAGTCGAGACTAACGATATAGTGATGCATATAATCATGATTTTAATTAAGTATACAATAATTGATTTTTAATTAATATATTTAAAAATTAATTATATTTATACCATTATTTGTAGAGTAATGCCGATCGGAATGTTTTGCTGGATGTGTGTGGAAGCCATCAAAATGAAATCACCAGAAAAGATACTAGGTCAGCTTGTCTGGTTTTTTGCTACAGCATTACTTGCATTTGCAATCATATGGCTACTGGTATACCCGGGTCTATATTTTTTAATAATACGAAAAAATCCGTTCAAATTTATGGTTAATATAATCCCGGCTATGATTGTGTCATTTGGTTCGAGTTCGAGGTTTTAATCAAAATAACAATCTTTAATAAATAACGTAACTATTTATATTTGACGCTAGTGCCTTGACACTTCCAGTGACAATAGATTGCATGGAAAGAAAAAATAAACTAGCAAAAACGGTCACCCAGTTTGTTTTGCCACTGGGTATGACCATTAACATGAATGGCAGCGCCATGTATTACCCGATGGTTACGTTATTTGTGGCACAAATGCATGGCCTGAATATTACCTTTCAAATACTCGTCACATTATGGTAATACAAAAAATGCATGAAAATATCACCTAGATTTAAATAATTATATTGAGTATTTTAATTTTAGTATATTCTCCTTGATAATGTCAATGGCCTTTCCGGGTGCACCATCTGGCGGTTCATCTATAGTTAATTTCATAGCATTTTGCTCAGTCATCGGAATTGATAACCCGTTAGATATACTCGCGTACACAATGACAATGGACTGGCTCATGTATGTTTTTTAAATTATTTGTACTATTTAAATTGTTTGTTTTAAAAAAATGATCTCATAATTGTACAAAATTAAAATAATTGTACCAGGGAAAGGGTGCGTACAATGGGCAACGTTATTGGCGATTGCTTTCTGGCGGCTATCATACAAAAGTTATGTCATATTAAAAGTGATGAGCAAAATAGCAATACATCAAAAAATGTTAATGATATAAATACTCAATTGTAAATTAGGTTATACAATTAAAGTTTACATTTTTTGTGCTAAATTAAATTTTAATAAATGTTTATCAAGTAATTTTATTTAAACATTAATAACATAACAGCTTGTTTGGTTTAGTAAGAGAAAATAAAATGATTTATTCTTGACAAGCTATACATTAGTTTAAAAGCCTAGGTAGTTTAAAGAAAAGAGCATTGAAACTTATTATTAATATTCTGTATATAATAGACAGTAATTATAGTAAATTCACTGTAAGTGTGGGTTTCTATAGCATTGCTTACAAATTTTTTTATTAAGTTTAAAAAATTGTGATTTTTATTTTTATTTGTTTTTAATCTTCAGGTCTAACAAAATTAAAATATAACTTTAATGTGTTAAACAACTTTGAATTATAAAACAAAAATTAGTTTTAATTATTTTTATATTAAAAGTTCAGATGAACATGTACAATTACCGTTAAAATAACAGATATAATTTTTCTATAACAATAAATATGATTAAAATGTTACAAAATAATTTTACAATATATTAAATATCTAAATTAACTAGATAATTAAAATAATAATAAATTGACTGTAAATTCATTACTAATTGTCTAATGCTTAATTCATGTAAAAATATTTGTTTCTTTTTTATTTTTAAAATTATTTTTATTAAATTTATTAAA